CGTAATTTAAAATCTGAAACATTTCAGATTTTGTTTTTATTTTTTACTTTTTTTTTTTTCTGGCGGAGAACCGACTGAATGAATGAAATTAGGACAGAGTCTCGTAACAAGTATGATTTCTACAATATCGGTCTTAATTGTATATTTGTACAATATCGGTCTAAGTTGGTATATTTGTACAATATCGGATGTGATTAAACTTGCAAATGAAGTACAAATTCTAAGAATTTCTAAAGTCCCTATAAACTACAGCGAGTCATAAAAGCGTACTCCGGCAGTACAGGCTTTCAGACACTTTTTTGAAAGAGTAATTAAATTTCTAATTTACACGAAATACTTTTATTAGATGCCATATCTTAAACCTGTACAAAATCAAAAAATCTTAACTCAAAATAAAGTGAAATAAATATTAAATTTTATACTTTTCGTGTAAAACGAGAAAGTAATGTTCAAAAAAGTATTTAGGCAAACAAACGTATTAAAAAAAACTATAAAATTCGTTCTAATAATGTACTGGGATTTCTTTCCTTGTCGTGAATTCACTGAATCGTCTAGGCTTGGATTTCATAAGATTTTGAATTTTTTCTCATATTTTTCTTGAGCTTTCCTCCAAGACCATTTCTTTCGGAAATTCGGTTTTTAGTAATTTGGTCGGTACTTACGTATTATCCCGTCGACCAGCCAAGTAGTGCGATTTAGCGCCAGTTATGGATAATCGTACCCTTTAGAATTCCGTAGTAATGATTGGCGACTGGCAACCGTTGCTGAAATTTTCATCAACGGTCGACAAGATAGCATGTAAGTGCCATTTTTTCTTACAAATGCCCGCAAATATGCTGAATAAGATGGAGGTCTGGGCTAAATACAAGCGTTTGGATTACATAGGGATAGGTACATAGTTCGCAAATCTAATCGTAATACTTCGGGTCAGTATCTTGATAAAGCTTAAATGCGACAATATGTCCAATTTTCTGGGTGCTGTATTTCTGATTCTGTTTAAAAATATACAAATATATAAAATTATCTGTTTTACCATCAATAATATGTAGAATTTAAAAGTCGCAAGTGTTCATATACACTGGTGTGCAAAAATTAAGGACGAAGTCAAAATTAGATTCAAAGCTGCAGGGTGGTAGTTCTGTTTGCACGACGCCCGTACGGTGTGTACTCTAACGCCTGCCCCATCGGCGAAGGAGTCTCCTGTGGTGCCGGGCACACCGGAATTGGAGAGACAATGATGGGGACGAGTCTCTTACAGATGAGGCAGATTTCAGTTGAGTAGTGATTGTCATCGCATACTCATATGGAGAGAGCGGGGAAGCCGCAATCATCCTCGAACATATTGAAAGGGGCAGGTAGGAGTGGCGGTGTTCTCGTTTGGGAGGCATCGGCTTGGTAGTGTACCGACATTGCACATCTTCGACGCAGGTTCAGTCAGGAACCCGTTATTGAACGAGATTCTTTCCATGGTGCGTCTTTTAGAGGCGTATGGGTCGCACCCTTTTCAGGACGACATGCACCATGTCATCTCCAGTAGCTGCCGAACAGGTCTTAGAGAGTGAGGATATTGAAGTTTGGATTGGCCTGCACGACTCCGGATTCATCCTCGAGCTGTATGGGAGTTCTAGGCAACGCTTGGCAGCTCTACCTACCCCATACGATTCGGACTTCGATGGCGCTGCAAGGAATGTCAGCAATGCCTCAACAACTATGACACCCTCATTTCAGCATGGGCAGACGCTGTGAAACCTGATAGCAGTCAGGGGAGACATATCCTATTAAGACCGATGTTTTGCTGGACCCCATCACAGGATGGGCCTTCAGTCGCTTGCACTCCATGCTACTTTTCATAAAGCTTTTTTTTATCCTTTGATTCTCTTTTAGTAAGTGTTGCTTACATTTTCTGTCCTTACGTATTGGAGATCTTACGGTATTAAATGTGTTGATTTGGAAAGCTTTTGTACAAAGTTATATTGAAAAAACTGTCTCGTCCTTAATTTTTGCACACCAGTGTAGCTCAAGACTATCTGGCTACCTCCACCATGTTTTACTGAAAGGGTAAGATTCTTCATTTAAAGTTCAGTGTTAGGTTTTCGTTAGATAATTTGCTTTTAATCACTGTCAAATTATGAAATTTACATTCATCTATAAATATAGCTTAATTCTAAAAATTGTGAGATTTGTAATACAAGTCTTTAACCAGGCCCTTCGCTTTACCGAGAAATGGGTTTCTTCTATTAATTTTGTCATAAAAGTTATATTTTCTTAAAATATTTCTAACAATAATGCATTACTGGATTTACTAAATATTCGTTGGGCTTTTTAAAGTCAATCTGACCTCGCTGGTTTTAGTATTTTAAATAACACTTCTAACTATATGCTTTTCTTTGCATTCAGCGAATCGCCTTGAATGCCTATTTACAAGCAAATTTAGTTAACGTGTTTAAAAATTAAATTGAACAGTAGCTATTATTTTAACTTCAACAGTTCAACTATTTTCTTCTCTAATTTTTCATGATTCCAAATTTAATCGTACCAAAAGAAATCTCAATTTCCTCGACCTTCTTTAAACTAGTAGCTCCTAAACCTTAAACTCTACTTTTTCTCAGCTAAGACTCTTTCTAAGGTCCGCGATTCGATTCCCGGCGAACGCGTTGCATATTTTTCATCATTCCTGCTTCTAAAAAATAACCTAATGGCTCTACAAATTTCGTGTTTAAAGTATTCAAAAGATGTCATTTATTCTTTAGTGTTATTTAATATTATTCCTCTTAATATATTTAGCATCATATTTAGACACAGAAAGCAATGAAAATATGTAGTTTGAGAAAAATAGCTTAATTTTTATCACTAAATGTTTGATAGTGTCCTGTGCCCTAATACGTTTTTGAGTCACCGTAGATTCACGATGAAGAAAACCATCAGGGGTGATGTCACTAACGTGGCGTAGGATTTTAAAATTTTGAAATTTTAAGCTGCTGATAATTAATAATATTTATAAAAATAGTTATTTGTATATGCGTTTTTTTTGGCAGTAATATTGAATTTATAAAGAAAATTCGAAAATAACTTTAGCAATTTAAAAAAAAAAATAATTAATCTATGGACTAAAGAAAACGTTAGGCAAATATTCTATTTCTTGCATAAAAAACTTCAATAAGATATTCTTTTACGTTAAAAAACTTATTGCTTAATATATGTAAATCATATGTTAAATATCAGGAGCAAAACTGTTTTATTTAAATGAGAGCATTAGAAGTTAAAACTGATACATGTATCTTTCCAGTGACATAAAGAGAGACAGAGATTTTTAAAGTAAGATTTTAGAAGCTGTTTATTAATGCAAATTTTTAATTGAAAATTTAGAAACAGTTTTTATTAATGCAGATGGACATCTGAGTTCCTTCCTGTGTTTTAATTAATATTTTAAAATGTATACTACACAATGTATTCAATGTAATGCATAGTTAAAAACAACAAAACGAAACAAAAATGCTAGCGCTTTTTAATTGTACATAAAAAAAATTCTACAAAGGCTATTAAAAATGAATTAAAAATAAAACTTCTGTAGTGTTACAATTTAAAAAAACATGTCATTAATTACGTTTTCGTTTTCTTTTAGGTTTAACAAATTTGCTTTTCAATTCATCAATAAAATTTTTTCTAAATCAAACTGCTTTGGTTTCATAAAGATATTTAGTATCAAATATTTAAAATTGAAATGCTACTTTTCTATCCAATTATTAAAAACATGGCATGCAAATGTACATAAAAACATCATAATTACGTAAATAAAATATTCTCCAAATAAAAATTTTTCTTAAAACTAAAGTGTTTAAAATTAATTCACGACTGAAATATTATTATAGGGGTTCAAACATTGTTATACAGAATATACGAACTTACTTAAGCACAAGCCAGTAATACTGGTCACGTGTATTACTGCCTCTTTGGATTATCAGAATTACTAGATTATTGTGCAGAATACTAGACTTGGTTTATTTGATCATGGCAAAGCACGCGAGAGCTATCTGCCTAACAGGAAGGATGCCTTCGTGGACAACTAAAGGAAACTCGCTCGTATTCACGTTACACATGGGGAAAAACATGAAAACGTCCATGCAGCCAGCCCGTTCGCTTGGAATCGAACCCAGGTCAAACTAACAGTGTTCGGCGACTTTATGCTCGGCCTCTGGTGGGCTTCTCTTTGAAATCGATTTCTAAAATCTAGTTGGTGACCTCAGTGCAGTGGATCCAACTTAATAACATTTATATTTTAAATTGACCACCATGGTTCCCAGATCTTAACCAGATAACGTTTTACCTGAGGGGTCTTATAAAAAGCGAAAGCTATACCAGTATACAATAACATCCGAAGTTACATTTCAGAATGCTCTTGAGCAAGTCTGTAATGACATAAATGTGGAAGTGTTTCTAAAATGTCAAGCAAAGTTGCTGCTGTAATTAAAGCTAAAAGTGGGAACAGTAAGCATTAAAATTGTGAATAGATATTTATTATATGCAATGATGAAAAATTTGGTTTTGATTTATCTCAAAACTATTTCAAAATAAATGCACTAGTATAGGGGGCCTGATGCTTTTAGCCAAGGTTGCATTTCATTACAGATAATGATAATATTTTTTAAACATCTGAAAGTCATTGTTAACAGCCTGTTGCTTTATAGTAACATTTAATGTTAATTACGCAATCTATGATTTGATGCCTGTTATTTTTAGGTGACATTAATATACCCGCAGCTTGGGATGCACCACCGCTGAGGCTACCAGGAAAACAATATCCGGTAGTGATATTCTCTCACGGTTTAGGAGGGTGTCGTACATCTTATACTACATTTTGTTTAGAGCTGGCTTCCCAAGGTTATGTTGTGGCGGCCCTGGAACACAGGTTAGTAAATATTTCATATTTTTTCTGAACCTACCATAAGATCACATCAACCTTAAAAACTTGATAGAATTTTGATTTTCTTTAAATCTTCATTATATTATACTTTTTTTTTTTTTCCAGTTTTACGACCATTAAAAAAAAGCTACGACTGACAAACAGTTCAAATTTTTTCAGAATAGTTATCTTTAAATTCCTAAAAATAAACTTGAAAGTAATACATTTTAAAACTGGTTATAATAGAAAATATTTAATGTAAACACGCTAATTCGCATGTATTTTGATAACATAAAACGATGAGACGAAATTCCTACAAATAAATGAATACAATTTAAATAATTTAATGAAAATAGACTAGGGATGCTGCATATTTTACATTATAGTAATTAGAAATAAAAGTTTAAAAAAATCCATTAATAAATGAGTTGGGCGTAGTTGTTTGGCAAAAGTTTATAAACTACTGATTTAATTTTCCAGTAATTTTTTGATAAATATATACTCATTTGTTAATGTACAAAGTAAAACTCTTAGCAGTTTTTATATGAGAAGAAACTCGAGAATTTTTATTTATTTGAATTTTCAATTATTCGAGACAGTATTGCTTCAGTTTACGTCTGAAAATCAGGATTCTGATGCTGTAAATAAAACTTTCTAATGTTCTAGTTAAATTTGTTGTTCTTGGCAGCTAGAATACTTATAAACTGTGTAACGAATTATCGCTGAGTTCACGCGTAAAAGACAAGTCCAAAGAAGGGTCAAATTACCCTTTTATTCAACTCAATAAAGATTCACAGATGGCCCTTCTCGGGCATACAAGAAGCCTTGCACTTGGGCTTTAACTTAATCCTTTCGACCCGACTTTTGCATGATTAAAATTTAACTATGAAAAGGTAGTAGTTTAATTTAACGTTGACATACTAAAAGATGTCTAATATGAGTTTAAAGTTTTTAACTTGTCCCGTTTCCTGGAAATCTGGGACAATATGTCCCAGTCGTCTTGACAGGGTTTCTTAAACTTTTTTTCACTCGTGACCCCTTTTAATAACTGAGACTTTTCGTGACCCCGAGGACGCCATAACATTTACAAAAATTTTGTGGAACCCCATAAGTATTACGCAAATCCGACACACGCGTTCACTCGTACTGTAATATACTATTTCACTTTTAGGTGACTACCTTTAATTTTTAATTTTAAGACATAGAACAATGTGAAAAGTTTAAATAAGTAACAGACAAAATGACAGCGTCACGTGCAAAGCAAGGAAAATGAACGTTTATATTATAAAAAGAACGCGTAGAAACGTTTCCATTTTTTTCTTTGTCGTCTTATCTCTATGTATTTTCAGATACATTGTTTTAAAAATATTTGGTAATTGTAAAATTATTATAAAAAGTTAAAGAAATGTTAAAACTCCTAAAATTTTTGGCGACCCCCTGCTGTAGGTCCCGCCGTTTAAGAAACCCTGGTCTAGGAAATTGTAATAATAACCTTACATTGCGTGTAACTAAATAATAAAGTTAAATGAAATGCAACATTTTTTCTGAATATTTTATTCTTAAAGTACAAGTTAAGTGTGATATGGCGTAAAGCAGTCTTTACAAAGTGCAACCTGACACATCTGGCATATAGGCCAGATTTCTCTAGTCACATATTTTGTTTCCTAATTCCTTAAAAACAAAGCAAACGTAAAAACCCAATTAAAAGTTTGGTTTTATTTACCCAATAGAGAATGAAATCTAATCTCTGGCACGTATGTTCCCATTAGAACCGAAAGGGTTAAGATAGAAAATACGAAACTAATCTAATCCTAACTAAACTAAAACCAGTCGGAGTTGCACAGAAATAACTAAAATAACTGGTTCTTATTGAACATCAACCGACGAATACTAACAGGCACGTAACAATACGACCCAACGTAGTAAGATTAGGCTTAAAGCAACGGCGTGCCCAGAAGGCAGAATTCGTTCTACTAAAAACTTCTAAGCTTTTCTATTGATGAAATGACCGAGACTTAATACTGGTTATACCTCATTTACATAAAACGCGATCCTGAAAACTTATTCTGGCAGGAAATTGTAGCTGGGAAATGAGGAAGTAAAGGAAAGCTTAATTCAAAAATAAAAATAACTATTAGAAAATTAAAATATACACCTGCAACTTTTAAGCTGAAGCATTATCTGCAATAATCAACAAAACAATTCTAGCGACATTATATCACTCACCATGTTTTACAAAAGAAACGATATTAGAATTATTGCTATTGCGTTATTAAAAAAAAAAAAAAAAAAATTTGAAAACTAAAAACTTCAAATTACAGATTTCAGGACATCTCAAAGAAGATTTACCACTGAAAAATTTTTAATTCATATAAATAATTCTCTTTTCTTTTCTGATTATAAATAACATCTATTATCTTTTTTCATTAAAACAAAAATATATCTAAATATTTGATCTTCCACTTCATAAATTTAAAACCTTTGCTTTTGAATAAAATTAAAATTCACAAAAAAATTCAATTTTAAAAAGTTTCGACTTTGTTTTAAATCTCGTTAAAAATAATGTAAACATAAAAACATCAAAATATTAAAAATATATATAATTTTAATAAAATTTAAGAAAGGAATCTAACATGTAAAGGGGTATACTATCAAAATCTTTTGTAATCACAATTTGAGTTTATTTTGAATGCAGGTGACATTGTATAGAAAAAGTAGCATTAGAAATTTTGCAACAGATCGAATATTATAAAAACGCATTTTGTTTATTAAACTTGTAAAGTCTTTTAGAATTTTGGAGGGGGACAGGGAAGGTAATAAATCTGTATCCCTTCACTCAGATTCGAACTCCGAACTTCCCAGTTGCTAGCCGGAAGTGCTTCTAGTTACACCCCAAAGGTACGCAGTAAGGAGGTATAAAATTCTTTATATTCTCTCCCACTTGAAGAGCAACTAGGGAGGAGGCAACACAGTCGCCAAATCCAGATGGGATGTCGTGTAGCACATTTTATTTCGGGCGGCCAATAATAGAGTCATTATTTTGGAGCGGAATATGTGCTAAATCTCCGATGCTCTCAGCCAAGAACCGACCTTAACCTCCAAGACATGCTTCCACTTCTTACATCACGAAGGCACGCGATAAAAATTCCTTACAAACTTAGATATGAAATAACACTTGTTGTAATATATTATTGGTTTGATAGTATTGAAAAAATAACTTTTTAAATAACCCACTTTCTTACGCTGTTAAGCAATGCACTTTTATATCATGGAAGATAACTATCATATCCATTAATTATAAAAAAATCTTTACATTAATTATAAAAATTAATTAATCCTATCCATTAATTATAAAAATAATCTTTCCATTAATTATAATAATTAACTAATCTTATCCATTAATTATTAAAATGATTTTTTAGATAAACCACTTTCTTACGCTGTTTAACAACGCACTTTTATATCAAAAAAAGATAAATAAAAAATCTTTAACTTATTCTCATGTAGCCGGTATAGTGATTAGCGAGCTGACTGCAGTAACGATGAGCACGCGTTCGACTACCGGAAAAGTCTTGGATATTTCTAAGCGTAGAGCGTCTGTGCGGCAAGGAGACAGTCAAAATACACGGCAAGTCCTTTCAAGAGGTTGTTGGTAGGGGAAAGAGGAGTGAGACACCCTCAGACCATCTCCCAGATTTTTCTCCTTCAAGATGAGGCAGAACTGCACAGTTAGTACGGCACGATTTTACCTGTACCAGTATAATATCACTGATGAAATTCTGGTGTTCCGCCTCCTTCTACCTGTACCTGATTTTTACCGATATTGGAAAGAAGTTTATTCTTTATAGAAATGCATAACACACCTTTGAAGTCTAAACTAGAAAAACTGCTCCAATTTTTTGAATTTGAAAATAGAATTCCTGAAACATTTGTGACTGCTGACGTTTATGCCAGGTTAAACCTTGGGAAAATTTAAGTTTAAGGTAAAAATTCTTATTAAGTGGCTGTAATAATTAACTGACGAAGCTTATCGTCTACTTGCGATGTACGCCTTCTTATGTGCCTGTGCATCTTCTTATGGTGTAACTTAATAACTCCCCCGGGCTAAAAATCGTAATAACCATGGTTCTAATTCCAGTGAGGGCATAACTGGTTTTTCACATTTGCTAATGCGAATAACCTAACAATTCTAGACTAGAGAATGTATGAGGACTATATTGGACGATATTTCGTCATTATCTGGATTTGGTCGAATGAGTTTCGTTTCTCTTTTCCCAGTCGCTCTTTAAATGGTGAAGAATATAAGGAATTTTCGCCTTCCCCGGGCAAGTTTTCGTGGTATAACTAGTAGCACATCCGCCTAGCAGTAGGATTCGAGAACAGAGCTGATTTTCCCATTAGCGACTCCGATTAACCGAATAACTGTGCAGAAAAATTACACAAGGCGCAGATAGAAAACAAAATCCCGAATGCTATTAATGACTTAAGTTTAAAACATTGTCTTAACTGCAATTAATAAATAAATTTCAAAAAATTTTTATTTTATATTCTTAGTACATTTTACATTTATCTTCTGGAATTTTATAACGCTATAAAATCATAATTTGATTCCCACAGAATCTCAAAGAATCCATACCCGCAAGCATTACCAACAGAAGGAAGAGTATCTCAATAATTTTAAACGTGATTATTTATTTTTTTACAGGGATTATTCTGCATGTATGTCATTCTTCTATGAACGGCAGTCAAGTGCTACTGACAAAAATCTAACTGACCATTCAAGCTGTCAAGAGAAACTGGTGAAGCGGTGGATGCTGTTTCGCAAAGTTAAACAAGGAAAAGGAGAATATTCAATAAGGAATCAACAGGTTCGTAAGAAGAAAAGTTAATGGAGTAAAAATTCTTTAAGCTTTCATTTGATAACACGCCACTCTGCTTCTCTCTTCATCTTTTCAAAATCACAAAATATCCCAATTATTTATCTGCATAACTTCACTTAAACAGTTCAAGCTTACTCTCTACCTCCACTTGAAGTGTTACCTATTTATGGAATTTCTAAATGCTTCCAAAGAGTCTTACATTTTTGCCATTTAAAATGATTTTACTAATGAGATAATTTACTACTACTAATAATAATAATTACTACTAATAATAATAATTACTAATAATTTACTAATGAGATCGGTTTAGAAATTTACAAACTGGCAAAATTTAAGAATTCTGTTAATTTTTTCCCTTATTTAGATTGTGCATGTGGTAAAAAAATTCATTCAGTTACTTTTGCTCACAGTTTAATACTTCATTTAAACAGATAAGAAAAAATGTCTTTATTAGAAATCAAAACCATTTAAAAGAATTATATCTCAGAAAGAGGAAGCAATAGGATATTCAAGAAGGGAGCGAAACTATTGTTTATGAAAAGCTATCATTAACAGATTTTGTTTTCATTTGGTTTGATTTATTTAATTACGGAAAAGCACTCGAGGGCTATCGGCCTAAGGAGAGGGATGCCTTCGTGGAGGACTTTTTAAGGGAAACTAGTTCGTATACACGTTATAGATGGAGAGAACCACGAAAAGGCCCATGCTGGCAATCTGTTTGAACACTATCTTTGCAACGAAAGAAAATCTGCATATTGAACTTCCGAGACATCGGAAGTGTCTAAAATTCGGTAGTTCTACGAAATACAAATCAGAAAGTTTAGCTTCCAAAAGTAATTTGTGAAATCAAAGTCCTTTTTTTAAACTCAACTCTAGAAGTCATTTCTCTTCATAGTTCCCTTTAAACTATCCCAAATATGAACGTGCCATTAACACTGATGGTATTAGCATACAAGAATACTTTTTTAATCCAGTGATTCAAATCAAATCGTTTTCTAACCTCAACTAAAAAATAAAGTTTGAAAATGAAAGGATTTAAAAAAGTAATCATTCGTTCGTTGTGTCATTTGCATTACACATAAAACAAATGGCACGTATATAATGTCTACTTATGCTGTATTGAATTGAAGATGGCCACAAATGATTATAACTGGCTCCATTTCACAACATGCGAGAAAATCCATATTACCATGAAAGATTTTATTCAGTAACGAGGCTCTTTTTCTAGAGAGTAAATCATTCAAAAAAAAAAAAAAAAAAAAAACTGAAAGATTTTTAGGTTTTAATGGTCGGTCAATTTAATGCTCTTGCTAAGCTAGTCTTTTAGTTTGTTGTTGCATTCACTCCTGATACCCCCCTTTTTTTTTGTCTTTTTCGCTTTATCATTAAGCTTTTTTTTTTTTTTTTTTACTCTCGCCATATACAGTTTAACAGCGAAATTATAAGAATTTTAATGGCACAAAGAATGTGCCATTAAAATGGGCACAAAGAATGTGCAGAATTCTCGATGGAGTCTAATGTGTCGGCATACATTTTTCTATTTTTTTTTTTCAGCCTTTCGTTCAGTGTTCATCATATCAATGTTCAGTTTTCTTAGTAAGATGGACGGGCATGCACAACTTTTTTTTCCTCTTTTAATTATTTAATTTATGTGTTAACTTTAAATATCACGGTCTTCGCACTTAAGCCACACAAAATTCAATTCAACAGCAAGTTCACAAAAACTATTTAAAAACAATGTATATTCAGAATTTCCAGTAGGCAGTCTCCTGTGCTGGAAATAAAAATGTGTTATTTCGTACAGTGTTGCCTCTGTTCGCTTCCAAATGGTTGACTTTATTAATCGAAAATTCACTAAAATTTTATAAAATATGAATTATAAAATTCGGAGTTCAAAATTTGGTCTTCCAGAAGTACATGTTTGGGTGGAGGACAACGTTATTCAAAATTTGACGGTCCTAGGTACCGTCGTTTTTCCACAGTGCGAGGAACATACATACATACATGCAGATTCTTCATTGTTGAATTTCTTTAAAATTAATACAGGGTGCTGATATTTGGTGGCAACAATTTGAAAAGTGATTCGCCGTTTACAGTGGACGACGCGAAACTTGAGCTCTATTAAGTGGCTGTCAGACTGTATAAACAAAGTGGGCGACCCAAACATGTGGAGTTAAGATGCATTGGGCTTGGTGCGTTTGGTACAAAATCTTATAAAAAAGCAGAGGTGTTTGATACCTGACAAACTAAAACTGTAGAATAAGAAGAAAAGAAGAAGGTTACGACTGAAAATTTCTTTCTTTCTTTTTTTTTTTTTTTTCTTCTTAACCGGTAAACAAATTTCTTTTGGGGATGGGAAGGTCGCGGGGCCTTTTCAACTAAATATGAAAAATCACTATTCTTCAATGCTCATATTCTTTTTCGATATTTAAAACTACCAACTCAGAAGACGCCAGTTACATAATATAGATGGTAACTGAAATTTTATACGGAAATATATAATCATAATTTGGATTGCTTTTTTTATAATTTCATAGGTTCACCACAGAGCAAAAGAGTGTAGTTTGGCGTTGAACATATTGAGTGCCATAAATGCAGCGGAACCAGTCGCAAATGTGTTAGATACTTCCAAGCTTCCACTAGAGTCCTTCAAAGGCATGCTGAATTTGGGAAAAGTTTCGGTTGCTGGACATTCCTTCGGAGGAGCAACAGTTATAGCTACAATGGCAACAGATAAACGCTTTAAGTAAGTATTATTATAAAACTAACTTTATGAAATTGTAATATCTGAATGCTGTAGCATAATTTCGGGCTTCGCCAATAGACGAATTCGTTCCAATTCCCTCATCAGCGATCAAACGGTTAAATTGCTGAACACTGCTAGTTCGGCTCGGGTTCATATTACAGCGAACGAGCTGCAAATTAACTTTCGCAGTTTCTTTCAAATGCTACTTGAATACGAGCCACTTTTCCTGAGAAAGCCCTCCACGGAGGCATCCTTTCCCTTAGTCAAATAGCCCTGGCATGTTTTACAGTTTGCTTGAGATCCAAATACCCTCTACCTTTATATCGTAAAATAATAATAGTGAGCAGAACTGAGAAAAGATGCATTATAATCTTTCAGGAACATAATGTTACGAATTCTGTACATAGATGTTTTCCTGCAATGATATGTGAAATTGTTTTTTATGTGAATTATGTGAAATTTTTCTGTATAACGTAACCTGTGTTTTTCTGTATAATGTAACCTGAAAAAACTGAAAAGACGATGATCTGCCGGAAAAATAAGATTGCGGGGCAAACTTATTTGAGGTAAATTCTATCTCGCTAATTTGGCGAGATATCTATCCCAAAGTTGGCAACGGTTTCGGAGACCAATTTTTGTCACCAAATTTGGTGAGAAAACGTCAAAAAATCGCCAAACTTAGTAATATTTTAGTCCGGTTTTTATATAACTGTAATGCATATTGTAATTGAATAACTGTAATTGATGCTCTGTGTAAATGTATCCGTATTTGGCCCTCATATGCCATCCATTAATTTCAAGAAGCAAAAAGTACTAGAAATATCTCGGCGGCCGGTTGGAAACTATGTAGAACCGGAGACAACACCTGCCGTCAGTTGTTAGTTCAGCCTGAGTTCGCAGTATAGAGTATCTCCGGGTTAGCTTCGCTGTTTAGATGCGCTTTGCATTGCCTTGCCTTTAACATTCTTAGTAGTTTGAAGTGTAACTACTGATTGTATGCTGTGATACTGTGGTAGAATATTTCTGTGAAAGTCTCTAGAACTCTGAGATGTTTCTTTCGATAAAATAAATTTTATCAACTTATAATCGGAACTGTGTGTATTCAATCTAATACGAACCCGTACGCACGCAATATTAATTAGGAGGAAGTCAACCTGTTTTGAGAAAGTTCAAGAAAGTAAGGTTTTTAAAAAATTAAAAGTTTGTGAAAAATAGCAGCTATTAGCGAGATTCGAACCAGGGACTTTCAGCCTGGAGTCCAATAATTTCAATCTCGAGTCTAATAATCTATAATAACAACTAAGCTAGGAAGAACACGGATGCACTTTTCATTATTATTATTATTTACGTGTTCCAACCTAAGGCACTACACGGAAGGAAGGGATGCCTTCGTGGAGGAATTTCTAAGGGAAATTGCTCTCTAACACGTTACACGTGGGGAAAACCCCGGAAACGCCCATGCAGCCAGACTGTTCGTCGGATTCGAATCTCGGACCGCGAACTACAAGTGTTTAGGGACTTTACCGCTCGGCCGCTGGTGGGCCACAGATGCACTTTGTCTTTAATTTTTAAAAGTTCTTTTAGTATTTTTAATTTTTTAAACATAAACACAACACGAAAGATAAAAGTAAATAAGACAGAGTTAAGATTCACACGGCCCTTGGTGGCATTAATGTTAAATCTTAATTAGCAATATTTGGATAAGCGTGAGGAAGTATCCGCGGCAAAAATTAATCTGCGGGATTTGATTTGAAAATAATGTTGAACAGACTGATAACTATTCCAGACTGAAAGAATTGTTAAATGAAACTTTTATGGCTTTTCCTGTTTTTAATCTGGATACAAGCCAGTTTCCCTTAGAAACTCCTCCATACAGACATCCCTCCACTTACGAATATAGACTTGGCTTCTTTGCTATAGTAAATTAATTAATCAATGACTAATTAAAAATAGCCTAATTAAAGCTTTTCAAGTAATTTTGAATTTAAAAAGTTAAAAAGAAGTGGGAAAAAAGTTAAATATATTAATAAAACATTCAGCAGTGCAATACTGTGCGATCTATAGAACTGTTGATGTTTCTTTGAATTATAAATCCACATAAGAGACGGAGGGCCACCAGTGACCGAGCGGTAAAATCACTAAACACTGGTAGTCCCGACCTGGATTCGATCCCATGCGAACGGGCTGGCTGTATGAGCGTTTTCCTGGTTTCCTATGTGTAACCTGTATATGAGCCCGTTTTCCTCAGAAAGTCCTCCACGAAAGCATCCCTCCTCATAGGCAGATTGCCCTGGTATGCTTTGCTATAATTTACCAAGACATAAGCAGGAAGAGATGAAAAATTTATTAGGAAAATAGGCACACTAAATATTACACTCAAGCATCATAATGACAAGAAATAACTCAAGGAGAACAAGGATATTCAGCAGTTCCTCCTTAACACACAAAACAAATCGTTAAGACACGAAATAAATCGTAAAGTTCCTCTCAGAGTAAACTCTAAGTAGTAGTTCGGCTAACCATGGTTTAGCCGAACTACTAGTTAGAGTTTACTCTGAGAGGGTTGCGAAGCGGTAGTCTTACAACCGCTTCGCAACTGTTCCCCACCTGACCTTCCTTCTGATATTTGGATATAGGCCGGCGTCAGCGCGAACTTTATAGAGCTATTTCTAGTACATCGGATAATCCTCGGGTGGGGTAACCACATACTATATACAACCTCATTTGAGAGTTCTGAAAAGAAAAAATACAAATTTTAAGAAAAATAGGCCCATGCCTAGAATGGCAAATTCAGCGCCTTTGAAACGTCTTCGGAATGGGAACAAGGAGACTGTCGTCACGTGTTAAGTCTCCACGAATCAGGAAGCTAAAAATGTCCAAAATTCAGAATTCTGGTACCGGAGCTAGAGAGAGTTTGAGTTTTTCAGATTCACTTTTGGCTTCCATCATGCAATCTTGAATAAGTCTGAATAATTAGTTAATTCGAGTCCAAAAGTTCGAAAGCTGTATAAAAACTGCAGCAGCAGAAGGTAAATTCTCCGGTGAGTTTTCCTTCATCTTGAGTCTCTTATTTCTATGTTCGCGTAGGATCGAGAAATCCTCAGCTTTAGTTGAGAATTCTTCCTCGCTGGGGACGAGCTTCTTGGGTATTTTCTAATTTCCAGGAATGGGAAAGATGACATCTTACAAGGCGGCATTCCCAAGTTCATTCGTCATAAGCGATTTCGTCATAAGCGATTTCGCTCAAATTTATAGTACATGCAGCTCTTGGTTAGAAATGAAAGTACCCGAACTGGAAACTTCAGATGGCCAAGCGTTTAGAAAATAAAAATGTTGACGCGGTTGGGGCCGCATCCTATAAGCCATTTACGTTAACATGTTTGCCAAGCAGCGGTTGGTGTAGCGGTAAGAACTTGGATTAGTAATTCGATGATCGTGGGTTCAGCTTCCCGTGTGGAGACTCTTGTTCTTTCTTTTTCTCAGTTTTTATATTATTCTTTTTCCAATTAAGCAAAGAGGTGAATAGTTTATTTTATTTATTTATTTATACTCAAGAGGCATAGAAAAGGTAAAAAATTGGGATTTCGGCCTTTTTAACAAGGGATTGTAATTAAAGCGCATACGAAAAGACTGTGTACATGAAAATTCCAAACTTCAGTCTTTGACATTCGACGATTTACATGTATCGGGATGATATTTATCGTAGGAACAGGGAAAACAACAATTATTTCTGCATCTAGCACACTCCAAATTTTCGCAACTCCAAATTCTCTACGATTATGCGCTCATTAAAAAATGACGTCTTATATAGCTTTTGCGTATAAATAAATAAATAAAATAAATTATTCATCTCTTCGCTTAATTGGAAAATGAATAGTTTAAAAATTCAAAAAAGACAGAAAAAGAAATATCTCCCCATGGGGAGTGGAACCCACAATCATCGAATTACTAGTCCGACATCTTACGGCGACGCCAACGTTTGGACATCTAGAGATTTGGAGAAGTTTGGCCACTTCGAGTACTTTCATTTCTAGCAAAGCCCTACATGTCCTATAAATTTGAGCGAAATCGGTAATGACGAGTAGGGAATGTCCCCTTGTTAGGCAGACAGGCTTTTAGTCAGATTTCAAATTACAAGTATACGTCAAGTCATATCCCCGAGCACTTGAGATACCTATGCTAATTAAAATACTTTAATTGTCCATGACCAAACACATTTAGCAAAGCACTGCATGGGAAAATATCTGGCTTTATTATTCTAGATCCTGGCATTCAAGTTAAGTAGTTTACATATTCTGTAAAGTTTTCGGCATTCGTCAGTACGTGAACACTCTATAAAATAAATTGGGAAATACATCGTGATTCTTTCTTGAGAACTGCCGGGTAAAGGCATTCAATATAGCATTTTCCTCAGTTTCATGGGGAATTCCTCTGAGAGAAATTTTAATTGGTCTTTCTTCCCGATATCTCAGCATGGTGTGCTCAGTGTTTGAATTTTGCAAGCACATAATTGCACTTTTCAGGGCATCCCCAGTTTTCAGTGTCTAATCTCAATGTGATAAGGTTTCAAAGTTCCAACAAAATTAATATTTTTGTGAGTTAGGAACAAGCTTAAAAGTTATTTCCAAATGACATCAGGTCTTCAAACAGAATAAGAAGAAGTTTACTTTTCAAAAACACACTACTAGATGAATTTATGGGGTCATCACTATTAATTTGCACTTCAGTCGTTGATTTAGGACAATCAAAAATTTTGCTCAAACTACCGATCTTCAGAACGAGAAAAATGAGCGTTAACAGCAAGCAAAAATGAGCGTTAACAGAGCAGTCTTGGAAGGCGGAGAAATTGTTTTCAATCAATACAGGTGACGAGATATAAAGTATCTCTTTGCCAGAATTTTGGGGAACTTCCCAAGCATTGACAGCAGCTTTCATGCTACTAAACTTAGATGCGAAATCTAGAAACTGGATCTAACACACTTAAGAACCTTTCCTGGAAT